AACACACACACACACACACACACACACACACACACACACACATACACCCCCCACACACACACACACAAATAAACCACCACACCGCGTCCATACGCATTGCCTAGTTAAGACCCTCGTACACCCGCCACACACACACATACCAACATGTCAGCTTCGTACGACGCCGTTGGTTAAACACAACAACATCGTCGTCGGACCGTCCCACTTTCCCCGAGTCTGCTCTTGCAATAACCTCAAACTCACCACTCACCACGTCTGTTCCCTTACACGCATGCTCATGTTATAATGGTGCACGCGCAGTTTGAAGGGCGGGGGGGGGGAGCGAAATCAAGTCGAGGGGTAGAATACACAAAAGCACGGAAGGGTCATTCGAAAACTCGAAATAAATTCTCGAAGTACGGAATCTCGGATTTCCTTGCATTTCGAGCATAATTACGCGCCGCAACTAACGAGCGATATTCATATCGCGAAATCCGGTCGGAGGGAAACCGGAACGAAAGTAATACGTAATCCGATATATAGAGAGACACGTCGCACGAAGAAGAAAATGCTCTTTGGATATATCTCGAATTTTGAATTTCGATTTATTTTTCGAGAGTTTCTAGCTTTCTAGGGATTTATTTCTTGACGATGAAACGCCGAGGCAGTAATTGCATCCGACATGGGAGCGCCAGAGGGCGCTAGCGTCGCTTGTTAGGCCGACCGACTTCCTAGTTTCGTCGCGAGATCGAAGGAATGCGTAAATAATGCGTAAGGCAGGAGATTTACCGTTCATCGCGAGGTGGTTAGCGAGAGAGAGAGAGAGAGAGAGAGAGAGAGAGAGAGAGAGAGAGAAGAGAAGACAGAGAGAGAGAGGGAAGAGAGAGAAGAGAGAGAGAAGGAGAGAGAAGAGAAGAGAGAGAGAGAGAGACGAGAGAGAAATGGGAGAGACGATAGAGTAAGACGAGAGAGAAGAGAGAAGAGAGAGAGAGAGAGAGAGAAGAGAGGAGAGAGAGAGAAGACAGAGAGAAGAGGGAGGAAGAGAGAACGAGGTCGCTGTGGAGGACAAAGCCTGTGCTTGTCGCCACGCTGGCAATTGAGCGGTAGTTTATTTTTGGAGTATCTCGCTATCGCGGCTTCGTTTCACTCCTTGTCCTGCGAGTTTCGCTCGTTTCCTTTGCCTTGCCCTCTCCGTCTCGCATCGGTGCGCGGCGCAGCTCTCTCTTTCTTCTCCTGTGTATGTGCCAGTTGTGTGTGTAGCTGCTGTGTGTGTGTGTGCGTGGGGTGCGTGCAGGTTGCGTGTGCGTGCTGTGCGCAGTATGTATGTGTATGCGCCGCCGATACCCGCGAGTGTGATGTGTGTGTGTGCGTGTGTGTGTGTGTGTGTGGTGTGTGTGTGTGTGTGTGTTGTGGTTCGTGTGAGTGTGTGTGTGTGTGTAGTGGTTTATGTGGTAGTGGGGTGTATGATATGTATGATGTGGCGTGCAGAGGCGATGTATATTCACACCTGTATAAACATCTCTCATTACCTCCGCTGCAAAACAGGAGTTGCAGCAGGAGGTAATGGTGATCCGCGTCTCGTGTGATTCACGTTCGTGTGTGTGTGTAGCAGCAGAAGACTGAGGCGTACTAGGATACACCGTTACGACCGTGCGGCGGCGGGAGTCGATTCAGCACAAGCTCGCCGCTTAAGGCCGGCCAGGGCCAGTCAGCAGCTTCGCCATTAAAACGTAAGGTTCCAGGCAGGGCAGCAGTACGCTCAGTTT